GCGCACGGTGAAAACAAGACGAGTAAAGAGACTCGTATTTTCTCGCGGAACCTAACGGTAACGCGGAATGAGAGACATGCCAGACGCAGGATGAGAGAACGTTCTCGCCCGGAAGATGAGAAACGGATGTAAAAAAAAGATACGATACGAGTTCTCTCTCTCTCTCTCTCTTTCTCTCTTTCTCTCTCTTTCTCTCTCTCTCCTTCGAGATCTTTATAGGAAGATGTTTCAACAGGTTTGAAAGCAATGTGTAATATACATCCGCGTTACAAAAGAAATTAAATAAAAACATGTTCAAGAAAAAAAAACAAGTTCTCTTGTACCTATGTATTACTTATACATTATAAATCTCGGAGATTTCAACGCTGTGAGTGAGTGTAGAATTTTATCGGAGAGACGTTAATGCCGCGTACGTTGCGATCTGCCGGACGATACAACGTTGTTGTTGCTTTTATCCTCGCTTCATCTCTCCAATGATTCGAGAGAAATTTAATCAAAAATGTTTTCTCTATAATGAGAGTCTATATTATCAGTATTTTTTTTAGATATACTTATATCTTCAAAATATATATATTAGGTCTACCGGAAAGTTCTGTCCGTTTTTGGAATAAAACAAAATACAAATTTTTCTTAATTTTTCAAAAATGAGATATACAAATTGCTCTCACTCTGGCAAGAAATCATTAATATAATAATGGCAATTATATTATTTAATAAAGTTTATTGACGGTAAGAAAAATTTGTATTTTGTTTTATTCCAAAAACGGANAGAACTTTCCGGTAGACTTAATATAATATCTAATTTATTTGGCTGATTTATGCACGGAATGTGGAAGATCTTAATTCGATTTCTGACTAAGTTTTTGGGTTTTTTCTTTTAATGGATTCTTTAGATTTTATAGAGGGTTAAAGAATTGGGTAAAAAATATTGGGTATTGTATATACATATATGAGAAGATACAAATGAGAAGCATCTTAGATAAAGTTATACACTTAATTGAACTGAATTTAATTCGAATTTGTATATATGTATTAATTTGCATTTACAGTTTAAAAATATATGCGCACATACAGCATATAGGCTTGTATCGAGATCCTAAATTTCAGGTTTGCTTGTATTTTTATGTAATAAAGTTATTGCGTATGTGCGTTATAAAATCAAACAAAATACAAATTTTTCTTACCGTCAATAAACTTTATTAAATAATATAATTGCCATTATTATATTAATGATTTCTTGCCAGCGTGAGGGCAATTTGTATATCCCATTTTTGAAAAATTAAGAAAAATTTGTATTTTATTTTATTCCAAAAACGGAAACAGAACTTTCCGGTAGACCTAATATATATATATATATATATATATATGTATATTAAAATAAAATATTAATATAAAAATAAAATAAAATAAAATAAAGTATTAAAATATTAAATATATTATATATGTGTATATATATATTCTCTCGGAAATTACACAAAGAAGTCAAAAATTTATTTGAAATTTCTTTAAAGCTTTTCACAACGATGTCGACGCGATGCACGCGACGATAGTGAAGCGTAATCGAAGTGATGCGTAACCAGTATAACTGTGCTATGCAACCTGTTCTCTATCACTTGCGTTCCACTGACCTACTGCACTCCGACCTCCGTTATGTCGCACACGGTATTTAACATAGTGCATATGCACGTCTAGAATGTCAAATAGTTTGTTACTGGAATTTTAACAGATTCCTTGTTTGTAGAAAAATCTTGACGACTACATCCGAGAATTCATTTAAGTAGTTTATACAATATATAGAAAAATTTCAACGTTAATTAACAAAAAAAATTTATCTTGTAGTTTTAGTGTTTGATAAGTTTCCAAATTGTTTGTTATATTTTTCAAACTCAATTGAAAACAATCAATCAATTCGCTGTTTATGTTAATATTAACAATGATATTAACGTTGTCCTTGTTAACGCGCTATTTGGTGATTCTGTGTCTTTGAATCTGATCTGCGTTACCATTATTCTGGCGTTATTCTCACAAATGATCTTTGATGATTAAAACGAAAACCTTTCTTACTTGTGCGAGCGGAAATAATTTATTCGAAGTAATGAACTTGCATGCGCATCTCTGATGTCTGACTTAGCCGAACCAATTATGTGATGATTTATTAATCTACAGAACTGCAAAACATACTTATTGCAAACGTCGAAATACCAGAATTTTTTATTTATAACAAAACTCGTTTGAAGTCTCTTAACGCAGCATATAGAGACTTATTTCGCAAAATACGTAAAATTAAATAAATAATACTTGTTAAAATTAGCAAAGTCCATCTACTTTACTTTGTTCTTTTTTTATGCAAAACTAATGTTTCTAATAGAGCAATTTTCAACTGTGTTACGTTAATACATCTGTGTTTAAATTGGACTTGTATGTGTTGTTTAGCATGTTTTTTATACTTGAAGAAGTTTCAAAAAATATAGAAAGTACTCGCAATATACATTTATGTAATATTTCTCATATAATTGTTTCACGAAAGCGAAAACATGTAATTTCTGTGTATACATAGTTCGTTTGTTGAATTAAAAATAAAAGCGGATACCAAAAATTTTGATAATTAATAAAACTTTTATAAAAAAAAAAGTAGAGAAAATTAATTGATGACTTTTATAAAAAAAACTTTTATAAAGAAAAAGTAGAGCAAATTAAAAGATGTAAATGCGTGCTTGCAAAAATATAAAATAGCGATAATTCTAACACATCGTGTACGTACATGGTCGCAGTATCGTTTCGAAATTTCTATTGACCGTTTCATGTTGCTTATGATGTAATGTAGATGTCCAGTAAATCTAGATGACTACATAAGGTATTTTAAGCTTTCTCTCGATTACTCAGAACAACTTTGTCACAAACGCTTAATTCTTACCAAAGATGTAAACTACGTCTCAAAGGCAAAGCAATTAACTCAGAGAAGGTGATGTAATAAACATAAATATTCGGGTGATAAGAATTTCAAACCAAGCAAATTCGGTCTGTTAAGCAGTCGTTTACGTGATAATTTTGCGAAGATTTAAAAGGATAGCAAAAGCAATTGCCACTACCGGTTTAGCCGCGATACAAAAGCGATTAAAATGACAAGAGGTAGTAATTAATGACAAGATTGGGGAATTTTGTCAAAAAACAAGAGTATTTCGACGGCACATAGACACAAATATGTAGAAAGCCATGCAACGAATAGATATTAACTAGTCGACCTTGCACAAACGTTAATTATGCATGCTCTTTAAACATAACGAGAGTTACAAGCAGTTGGATACACGGTAGCTCTCACTTTAATACGATTTATCGGAAACGACAAATTGTCGATATACGAAGTGTTTCGTCGATGTTTCACTATTAAGCACAAAATGTTGAAAGTAATTCTATTTTTACAAATATAATCAAAAATATCATTTTTGTTTTATAATTTTTAATAAATTTAAAAAATATATATATATGTATAAATTTTGTATCGACAAATGTGAATATTCGCGCGTGCGCGCGAAGCTATATTCTTCTTTTTAATATTTTAGATTATTTGTTATTGCAAAGTTTATAGCTCAATTATTATATCTATATGGGTTGTTCAAAAAGTCATTGCGTTTTTTTCATTTGATTTTCAGGTGCGTTTATTTAATATACGTAATGAATATTAATCAATGATGTATTGGCCGTTTTGTTCAATGACTTTTTGCCATCTCTCGGGCAACTTCATAATACCGCGTTCATAAAACTTCCTATCTTTCTCTGCGAGAAACTTGCTGTTTGATGAGGTCTTCAGAAGCAAACGTTTTACCACTCAAGGAGTTTTGCAAAGAGCGAAATAAATGAAAGTCTGATGGCGCTAGGTCTGGGCTATACGGTGGTAATTTAGATTTCCGTATTTTGTTTATTCCGATGATTATAAACAAGATGCAATTTCGTCATCAAATTTTTAATTTACATATAATAATTCTCTAGCAAATGCGAAATCACATTCGTTAAATAAATTGTAAAGTAAAGCGCAACGGTTACAGTTTCCAGTTTGCATTCGATACGGTTAATAAATTATCATATGCGTTTGTGTAAGACAAAGACATACACTGCAACGAATTGAAATACTTTCGAATAATCGCAAGCATATAGTATCACTCTAAACGATTTCGTTCGCGAAAATATTGCTTGTCGTGTGTTAAGTACTCGGCGATTATAGCCAGAATTACTATATTTGAACGACCTATCACAAACTAACTCTTCATCAAAAATCAATTTGACACGTCAAATCAAAATTATTTTCTATCACTAATGACTAATTAAGAAAGAGATATCGAATGTTAACAATGGCAATTTATTTATCCGTGCTGTAATCTTGTTCCGACCTAATTGCGGCACAAATCCGCAATTACATAGCAATAAGTTATAAGTGTTATTAGTTACGGTAGAAAATCGCAATACACAGAATTGCGATGTAGGACGAAAATTAACCGGATTATTGTTTTACCTAATTATGTAAGTGCAAATCCTTGCTTGCGCCTAAAAATTTCACAGTCAGTCAACACGTTCTTCGAAAATAAGTAAAAAAAAAAAAAGTAAAAAAAGTTTATTGCAAAACCGATGAAACCTAACAGTCTTGAATCTCAATAAAAAATATAAAAAAATAATTCAAACACACTGTTAATAAAATATTAGGTCTACCGGAAAGTTCTGTTTCCGTTTTTTTGGAATAAAACAAAATACAAATTTTTCTTAATTTTTCAAAAATGGGATATACAAATTGCCCTCACGCTGGCAAGAAATCATTACTATATATATATATATATATATATAATAATGGCAATTTATATTATTTAATAATTATATTTTAATTTATATTATTTAAGTTTATTGACGGTAAGAAAAATTTGTATTTTGTTTTATTCCAAAAACGGACAGAACTTTCCGGTAGACCTAAATATATAAATATTTTACACACATAAAAGGAACAAAACACTCACCGTGCCTGAGCTTTCCCTTCCTGGATATTAAAAATGAGAGAGGTCTTGGAACTTTTTCGGTACAAATATTGTCACTTGGATCAGTCCTCACGCCAAAAAGAGCGTTTCTGCCGACCTTCATGTATTGTCGACCCATCGCCTTTGGCGACCTAGACCCGAATAAGGTTTCGATAAACTTCATTTTGAATCTTTTTTAATGAATTCACGTCACGAGGAAAAACAATATCTTCTCGAAAGAAGTTTTTCTCGGCTGTCTAGACAACCGATCACACCAATGACACTCGTAAGAATAAATGACTTCACACTCAGCAGAGTGATTCGCAATAAATCACTCTCAATAGTCACTTTTCGAGCTTGAATTTCACTTGTCACAAGTTTATGATACGGTAACTACTCACAATCGATGAAATGTAATATGAATATGTTCCTTGTAGGATAAAGTTCGCTGAAACGTGCGAAAGATCTCTGTTTTGCACGCGTTTAAATATATTTCTCTTCAGACTGCACTTTGATACGTTTTGAGATCAATCTTCGATTGGTGGATAAAAATAGTGCGGTCGGTTTAAACGACGTTTAAAAATAGATGACAATTGCGTGCGCGATAAGAGATGATTAATTATAATAATAGATCTTGCGTTCTGTGATTGAAGTGGCTAAAGAGTTAAATCAGAGTATGCATCGCGCTAAACGGAGATCGTCGTCATTATCATCTGGCATTGTTGCACCAGATATTGACTGCGCGACGAACGTGAAAACGCATTGCAATTGTTACTGTCGTTATCATCACTGTCTCCCCCGTTTTCGTCGTTGGCGTGTGCCCCAATAGCGTTATTTCGACAGGTACCGCACTCACGTGCTCCCCGCGTTCGTGTTACGCACACTGCACTTTCACACTTTGGTCCAGGTGTAGAGAGACGCGCGCGTCTCGCGCCACGCGGCTTCACTTTCACTCTCGTCGTAATCCCGCCGCCGACTTAGTCCTTCATCTCCGGAATTCGTCTGAAATGCAAAACCGAATCAGGATTAAAAATAAAACAAAAACAACCGAAATGGAAAGAGGAGATGTGAAAAAAAATTCTTAATTTCGCGACGAAATATGTAAATTGTACAACAAAAAGACACAGACGCACACATGTTTAACCGTATATTTTATATGTCATCGTTTACGCGTTGCGTAAATAAAATATATGCATTTTGTTGAATCTTGTTTGTTGTCGTGATACGCGCAATGTTAACATCGAAGTTGCGAGACGAGTATCGAATATTTATTTTCAAACGCACAAGACATCGATTATTTATCAGCAATGTTAAAAAAAATTTTCCAATCACAGTGTAGTTTCGCGACATTTCCCCGTATTACGCGAAGGAGAATTAAAATATCTAATTATCTGTTTATATTTGAGACATTGTCTACAACTAGTATATATTTATTAACATATATTTCAATTTAATTAATTACCTATCAATGTTATTGCGTTGCAAATCTGTGATTTTAAACCTTTGTATCTGTGATGCTCAGAAACACAGCAATTTTAGCATTTTAAATGAGAATTAATTAAAGCATGACATGTAACAACAAAAACAGTTTATCGCACTTGGAGATCTACGTCTTGCAAAAAAGTTAATAATATCAAAGGCCGTGATACAAAACCCTGGGGAAAAATAATGCAAACAAGTAAGAATATTCCGTGTGATAAATTATTTGAATAATGAGATTGAACGCACACGAACGTGAAAACTTGTAAAACGCGCGTGTTATTGCGTTTTAGATTGTTTCTTAAGAAAAGTTTGTAGATTGTTTCATTGCGCTATAAGCAAAATTGTCAATCAATCAATCAATTGCTCGTGAAATAATCAAATAGTTCAAAGGCCAATACGAGCGGTAAAATACAGGATAGTCGTGTATAAAAAGCAGTCTTTATTCAAAAACAAACGTTTCGGTTCACAAGTTGGGACCTTCCTCAGTATAACAAAGCTTTTTATATATTTTACCGCTCGTATTGGCCTTTGAACTATTTGATTAAAGTTGTAAATCTTTGTTTTTCGCTATAATTAACAGATATATACTTATTGTATTAAGATATATACTTATTATTTTACAGATAGTGCGTGTTAAATTGTAAAAAAAAAAAAAAATAAATATCTTCGAATTGAGACATAAGAAAAAAATTATCTTAGATATAAGTCTTTTTTAAAGAATAAAAATAAGATTATATATAAAATACTATTATACTTTTCATACGTGACGTGTTAATATCGACTATGGAACAACACGTCAGTTTAGATGTTCTGTATCGTATAATTGCATTGATCGCCTACGTATATACATGCAACGTTGCGTTAAATAATATCTGCTGAAACAGTTAATTAAGCAATTATTACTGACGCACGCGCTTGTCGCAAACGTCATTCTTTTATAATCATTTTATTTACAAAATAATAACTCCGATCAACGTCACGTTAATAATTGATGAATTACATCAATGTCGCGCGCAAAAAATCGCACGTTCAACGAAATGTGTACTTTAATTCTTATAATTTTTTTTTTCCTCGACATAAATGCTTATACGTTTTAACAAATCAGATGGATACACACATGGATGACATTAATATAAAGAGCGTATAAAAGATATACGCAGACGAAATAAATAAAAATACAATTTTTAAAGCGCGTGAGCAATTTAAAAGAAAAAATAAATATGTTAAATAAAGAAGCGTTGCCGAACAAGTTGCAGGATTTTAGGAAATTAAAAAATTCATAACTGTCATATTTGAAAAAACATTAACAAACGTTTCGACTTTATTTTAAGTCTTCTTCAGTGTTATCTTTGACCACAAAATTTTCACAACTATAACAAGATGTTGACAAGTCAACAGTAGTTGTTGGACCGAACTCAACTACAATTCAAATTAAAAGAAAAATTTGGTCGAATTTTGTTTTGGAAATACTGAGGTAGCAAATTTTACGTAACTTTATTAGAACATATATACGCATATCTTAGTATATAACATGCAAGTATAAACAAAATGACTAAATAACACGGAAAGCTAGAGATTCCAGGTTCGATTCCTGGTCGAGGTGTTTTCTCGTAATATTTTAAATATATAAATATATTATTATAACATATATATTCATATTTATATTTTACACGTGAGTTTTGTGAAATGAAGTTTCAATTTTTAAATTCACATATAGGATGCTATATACTTACATCACGTATATGAGAAATCTTCGTTTACCTCTCTATCTAATTTTAAAATATAATATTGCGAAAAAACACCTCGACCAGGAATCGAATCTGGAATCTCTAACTTTCCGTGCCATTTAGTCATTTTGTTTACACTATATATATATTTATTACGCATATACCACATATATATTTATTACGCAAAAGAACATCCAACGTAGGCTCACGTAGTTTGGAACTTATATATATATATATGGACCGTTTATTTTGAAAGTGGTGTAAGTCCATTTTTGAAAAAAATGAGATATCACGTAATTCATGCTTAATTTAATGTAAATTTTTTTATGTATAACTAGTTTTCGAAACAAAAGAAAATGGACTT